ACAACAGCCAGGGTTATATGAGGACGGGTGTCTAGGGAGACAACATCCATGGTCATATAAGGACGGCTGCCTATGGAGACAAAACAGCCAGGGTCATATGAGGACGGGTGCCTAGGGAGACACAGAAAACCAGTTTCATATGAGGATGGGTGCCTAGGGAGACAATAGCCAGTGCCGTATGAGGACGGGTGCCTAGGGAGGCAACAGCCAGGGTCATATGAAGACGGTTGTCTAGGGAGACAACAGCCAGGGTCATATGAAGACGGTAGTCTAGGGACACAACAGCCAGGGTCATATGAGGACGGGCGCCTAGGGAGACACAGAAAACCAGGTTCATATGAGGACGGGTGCCTAGGGGGACAAAATAGCCAGGTTCATAGGAGAACGGGTGTCTAGGGAGACAACAGCCATGATCATATGAGGACGGGTGCCTAGGGAGACAAAATAGCCAGGTTCATAGGAGAACGGGTGCCTAGGGAGACACAGAAAACCAGGGTCATATAAGAACGGGTGCCTAGGGAGAAAACAGCCAGTGTCATATGAGGCCGGGTGCCTAGGGAGACATAACAGCCATGGTCATATGACCCTGGTTTTTTTTGTCTCCCTATGCACCCGCCCTCATATGCCCCTGGCTGTTGTGGCTTCCCAGACCCCTGTCCTCATATGACGATGGCTTTTATGTCTCCCTAGGCACCTGTCCTCCTATGACCCTGGTTTTCTGTGTCTCCCTAGGCAACCGTCCTCATATGACCCTTGCTGTTTTGTCTTCCTAGGCACCCATCCTCATATGACCCTGGCTGTAGTCTAGGGAGACAACAGCCAGGGTCATATGAGGACAGGTGCCTAGGGAGACATAACAGCCATCGTCATATGAGGACAGGTGTCTAGGAAGCCACAACAGCCAGGGTCATATGAGGACGGGTGACTAGGGAGACACAAGAGTCAGGGTTATATGAGGACGGGTGCCTAGGGAGACAAAACAGCCAGGGGCATATGAGGACGGGTGACTAGGGAGAAAACAGCCAGTGTCAAATGAGGACGGGTGCCTAGGGAGAAAACAGCCAGGGTCATATGAGGGCGGGTGCATATGGAGACAAAGAAAACAAGGGTCATATGAGGTCGTTGCCTAGGGAGACAAAACAGCCAGGGGCATATGAGGCCGGGTGACTAGGGAGACACAAGAGCCACGGTTATATGAGGACGGGTGCCTAGGGAGAAAACAGCCAGTGTCAAATGAGGAGGGGTGCCTAGGGAGACAACAGCCAAGGTCATATGAAGACGGGTGCCTATGGAGACAAAACAGCCAGGGTCATATGAGGGCGGGTGCCTAGGGAGACACAATAGCCAGAGTCATATGAGGACGGGTGCCTAGGGAGACAACATCCATGGTCATATGAGAACGGGTGTCTAGGGAGACAACATCCATGGTCATATGGGGACGGGTGCCTATGGAGACAAAACAGCCAGGGTCATATGAGGACGGTTGGCTAGGGAGACACAATAGCCAGAGTCATATGAGGGCGGGTGCCTAGGGAGACAACATCCATGGTCATATGAGGACGGGTGCCTATGGAGACAAAACAGCCAGGGTCATATGAGGACGGGTGCCTAGGGAGACAAAACAGCCAGGGTCATATGAGGACGGTTGGCTAGGGAGACACAATAGCCAGAGTCATATGAGGACGAGTGCCTAGGGAAACACACCAGCCAGGGTCATATGAGGACAGGTGTCTAGGGAGACAAAACAGCCAGGGTCATATGAGGACGGGTGCCTAGGAAGACAACAGCCAGGGTTATATGAGGACGGGTGGCTAGGGAGACACAACAGCCAGGGTCATATAAGGACGAGTGCCTAGGGAAACACACCAGCCAGGGTCATATGAGGACAGGTGTCTAGGGAGACACAGCAGCCAGGGTCATATGAGAACAGGTGCCCAGGGAGACATAACAGTCATTGTCATATGAGGACAGGTGTCTAGGGAGCCACAACAGCCAGGGTCATATGAGGACGGTTGACTAGGGAGACACAACAGTCAGGGTCATATGAGGACGGATGCCTAGGGAGACAAAACAGCCAGGGTCATATGAGGACGGGTGCCTAGGGAGACAAAACAGCCAGGGTCATATGAGGACGGGTGCCTAGGGAGACAAAACAGCCAGGGTCATATGAGGACGGGTGCCTAGGGAGACAANCCAGGATCATATGAGGACGGGTGCCTAGGGTGATCAGCCGAAACTGAAAATATAAAGAAAAGAAAGAAGACAGGAAACGGAAAAGATCGGTAGATCAATTTGGACTCTCAATGTCCCCCTTCGTAGAAGACACGGAAAAAAAACCCCGATTATTTAGGGGCCCCCCACCTAAGTCGCCTTCAGTTACTATACACATGTAGTGTGATACAGCAGATCTTTTCTTCATTTCTTCAATGTCCCCTTAATAGATGACAAGATAGAAACTATCCCCAATTCTGCAGGGGGCCCACACTAGTCGCCTCTTACGATCATGCAGGGGGACACAGCAGGCCTATTAGTTAACGCTATCAAGATAAAACAAAACCATGGTTTTATCTTACAACATTAAACGTACCTGACTGATTCGAATATGTTTACTAGTCGTTGAATATGATTATTATAACTGTGGAAACGAACGACAAAATAATGAGAAACCAATGCACACTCACCAATCATCAGCATAACGTCGTTGACTGCCAGGGCCTCTAGGGTATATGCAAATACACTTGATAAACCGCTGACTATAACAATGATTTCATCAAAAAGGCAGGATTGGAGACATTTGATAGAGCAAAGGCCAATGACATTGCGTACTACGTCATTTATACTTGAGTACCATCCTATTTTCACAGAGTTCCAGCAAAATGGCACATTGAGCTGGTACAGCTGTTCTATGCTTTGTCTGCCAACAATAGACATTGTCAACCCTATATAACTAAGCATGAGTAGGATGTACTTCCACCGCTTCCCGTCTGTTGATGTGTCGCGTGTGTAGAATGCAAACGCGCTTTTGAACAAATGCAACATGTCAGTTGTTTGGCGTTTGGATTTATCTAAAGATTCTGGGAGGAAAAGTAATATCATTATCAGATTTAACGCATTAAGGGCTGATATAACAATCATTGAATAAACAAAACCGACGTTTTTGATCAAATATCCGGCAGTGACGCCAGACAATACCAAACCAAACCCGACGAAAATCTCAACGAGTGTATTGGCGAAGGTGCGTGTGTTGTTGCTGGCGGTCAGATCGGACACATAGGCATAAGCTATAGATAATACGAAACACCATCCCCCTGTCAATCCCTCGATTCCAATAAACAGGAAGAAATACGTTACACTGATGTCCGTGCTCATTCCCATTGCGATCAGGAGAGTTTTCAGGAAAGTTCCAATGAGGGAAATGACAACGAAATGCTTTCTTCCGTGTTTGTCGCTTAACGATCCCATAACAACGTCTGTTACAATGCCAGGTGCACAAGCAAACACTGATGACAACATGAGCCAATCACTAGCCATTGTTTGCGCATCTGTCCGCTCAATGTAGGCAGGAGAGGTCTTGTTGGTGTAACATTGTGAGTCGCCATTGTTGCTAAGAAATGACGTGTCAGGATATTTCTGTTTGGCAAGATACGAGTACACATATTGAGCGATTACCATATTACAATAAAGGTATGAATACAAGTGTATCGTTAAACAAGGTCCCATTAAATAATGTCCCCATTTTAGCGGAGCACGATTAGGTTGGGGTGGCGCTTCTGATTCTGTTACCGTATTCGCCTTAATTATAACCCCAATATCAGCTTCATTGACATTATGTTGAGACAGAAGAGAACTTTCCTCGTCTTCTTCCATTATATTCATTACCCACTTCCTGTAGTAAAAACGTTTTCTGAAAATAGACAATTATAAAGTATCTCACATATATTATATTCTGTCGAAACACTTTAAATTTCTGTAATCCATCAGAATTGTATCACTATCACATTAAAATATGAGATTCGAGAAGAAATACAAAATCTCATCTAGGGTCCGTAATCATGAATCCGGTCTCACGCTCAAACTCAGATTCCGTGCTGAAACACAGTCTCTTGTTTCGCAGATAAAGTAATAAAATTCAAAGTTTGACAAAGTTTTGAAAGAATTTCGGAGAGAACTATCACGTTTTTTTTAAATGTCCAGGTTTGACTTTTTGACTGCCTGACATGATTTGAGAACGGTTTAAGTATGTAAGCGCCCAAATGCTATGATGCATGCGTGCACTTTTTTTCATTGAAGTAAATATAGAAAATATTTTTTCACTAGATATCCACGAACTCTTATTCTCGCGATTATGTTTTAACCGAATTATTCGCAAGAATTTGAATTCACAAATAAATAATAACATGTAGATATAGATTCTTCTAAATAGTCTGAATAAATGTTCGTCAAGTATTTTATTTCGCGACATGGGAAATTAAGCAATCTTGACAGCAAATATTCAGTATACACTATTGCATGCAAAACAGTCTAGGTTCAAACACCATGTTTTCTTACTCAATTTTCACGAATAGTCTATCAACGACTGTTTCAAAGGAATTATTCGTGAAAAAGGCAATAAAAAGCAATATTATCAAGGGCTCCGCTCTCTCACGTGCTCTGCACCACTGCAATATGTCCTGACGAAACCGAAGGCCCTGTACGCGTCACCTTGTGGATAATACAGATAGACTAGTTTGATCATTTGAGATACATAAAAAGATTGACTGGCTTTGAAGTCGGGTGTCGCTCCTCAGTAATCCGCAAAAGACAGGTATAAGCCTTGTGATTGGCCAGTTTGTCTACCTAAAACAATCAAATAGTAACCGCGCAACTTCGATGTTGCCATGACATATTCCTGTAGTGCATAAAGGTCGAGTAGCCCTGGAATTTCAAACACGGACCTAAATGCGCAGATGCTGTATTCTGAATAGATTTCTTATTAAAATGTTCAATTGAAAATTGGATAGTGTCTTGGACGTATTGTACAGTGCTGTTTGTAGTTGGTCGCAGCTTAAACTCTATGATCAAATTATTAAAGTAACAGCGAAACAATAATATTTACAAATGTAAAATCGGTAACACCCTGACGATGACATAGAATTTATTGTTTGTTTATAGTGCCAAAATATGGCGCCTGATACATTATATAACCATAATCATAATTTATTAAATCGATGCAGAAAAAAAAAACAATGTTTAATTTTCTCAATCGTCTATCAATAATCTTCAGTGGTACTATATAAATGTTAAAAATGAATATGAATATACAATATTACAGATTTTCTTTTAGGGAGATTTAATCCTACTGGAGTGAGTACACATAATGCTGGTAGTGCATGCATCATAATATTACATGCTGTCAGGTTTTAATTAACAGTACCAACACACCGACTTAAACAAATGATATTTGGTGAAGTGATAGCTACAGTCTTCCAGTTTCACGCGCTATCGTATGTATGATATAGAATAGTGTGTCACTGGGAGAAATTCGGAGTCCTATATTTTGTCACCTTTCAAACCGGTGTCGTGATAAACCAGGTCAGTTATCACAACACCGTGTAATGGTATACATGTTGTGTAATTTTAAAGATAGGTATTTAAATAAAACTGTCTTAATGGAATGAAGAGATGAGTGTGAGTTGTTATTAATGTTATCGTGTCTATAATAAAATATATAATTGTGTTTCTAAGCGGTCGGTGACTATTTCTTCTGTAATAACTCTTGGAATAGCCATATACATATACATATCTTAAACCTACTTAAGTTTCGTTTTTTTATAATGTGCAGTTTTCCAATCGTTGTGAAAATATTAAAACATGTCAGATGTTGAAATGTACTTACCCGGGTGTGTAGAATACTCAGCTACACCATGACCACCGTCCCATTTTCTCACCGATATAGATACTACTGTAAACGACGAACGTATTACACGGAACCTGAGAGAGCAGCCTCGACTGTCTGCTATTGTTACACATCCATAATGTGTGATTTGAGATTACAAAGTGTGAATTTGATGCATTTGGTACCTGCTTCTTACGCTTTCGGGGGCCCAGGACGAGGATATTTTGACAGTATGAGTATTATGCCAGAGGTTGATACAGTGACCAGCAGTGATTGTGAATCTGCGAAGGGACGCCACATTCCCCGACTGTCTCCGAATTGTTTGCCTCATAAAAAGTAACAGTAGCGCTAATTAGCGCAATAATTCAATCATAACTCGATCCTCACCTGTAATCCTGTAAAACACCCGCGTGATAATTAGGTCAGGTGATAAATTTGTAATGTGGCATGTGACTTGATCATGTGTTGTTATGTTTGTTAAGTGCAAGCTTTTTTATTCGGGTTGTTGGACACATCATGACCAATCAGTTGTCTTTTTTTGTTTTTTGTTTTTGTTTAAAGTTTTATATATATTCGAAAGTGCGTTTTATTGTGCGTATATCCATACGAACACCAGTCTAAGCAATTGCAATATTAAAAATAAAGACTCCATTTAAAATAAGTCATCATAAATAAACATAAGTCCCAGCTATTTTATAACATTCAAAGTACGACACAGATTATAAACCACTGCGTGAATTGTACGACCCAGATTATAAATCACTGCGTGAATTCAAGGATTAAAATAAGCAAGGTACACAGCAGTACGCAACGCTAGGAAACATAAAGTTAGTGAGAGCATCCATGCTCCAAACTTCCCCGGGCATTTCGTCTTGTCGATGTTTCGTATGAACCGGAATGGACTCCTTCCACGTTGAGCGTGACCAATACTGCAGCGAAGCCGGAGCGAAATGACGACAGACACCACCGGAAGTGGTTAGGAGTACCCACAAGCTTTACACCAACAGGGTCCTACAGCCGGACAGCTTCGATTATCATTGACAGCAGAAGAATTCGAAGTTGGACAGGCACGGCTAGTGATGCATGACATTGAAGGGGTTCCATTGATGGCAAGATCGTCGATTTCTAGAGTGGCAATAATGATAAGGTAGGTATTGTTCAGCATCAAAAGCAGTTTTAGGCCTGCAGGGAAGCATCCACGATATCCAGGGGTTACGCTTACGTTCACTCTCTGTACCCCTGGAATATATCATAGTAAAGTCGAAGGCTCAACTAGTGTGCGTGGGCCACGTTGTTTGATGTACATCAAAATAAAGATGGATATATATCTAAACGCGTAAGTGATTTAGGCAGCAGTACTCACACAGTTGGACCAGATTCCCCTCGTGTGTTTATGTCGTTCAGATATTTATTTCCTGAAAACACACGTTAATTGACGAAACATGCTTACCACGTTGGTCGCTTGTCCAATCATTCGTAGTTAAGATTTGTTAAGCATTTTGTTTGTTTGTTTGTTTGTGTTTTACGTCCTATTAACAGCTGTGGTCATTTAAGGATGTGTCAGGTTTTGGTGGTGGAGGAAAGCCGGAGTTCCCAGAGAAAAAACAACCGACCTATGGTCAGTATCTGGCGACTGCTCCACATGAGTCTCGAACCCGCGAACCAGTGGTGGAGGGCTAGTGGTAGCGGAATATCAGACGGCTTAACCACTTGGTCACTGTGGCCAAGTTTAGAGGCGGTTCCGACATATTCGAGACGTCTGGAATGCATTTTCCCAGAACTCGGAAAAGGCTTTTGCCATCAAAAATACAATTTCTGAATAAGAGTTGCTTCCCTTACTACGACATTCTGTTTTTTAAACACCCATGTCACTTGCCTTTCTACGCGTCTATAAAAACACATACGACAATTCAATGATTTTAGGTATTTTAATTCTACTGAAAGGTACGACAGACGCCAGTTTTTACTCCGGGAAATGTTCATATCCTTACCCAAGTAGTCTTTTACAAATGCAATTATGTGGCTTGGAAAGTCAGCGACAGCTCGTCATCGCAGAGATTCTCATGATTTTCTCTACATGAGGTGATGACTACCTTGAAGATATAGAGGATAACATGAAGAACAATAACAATGAAAACAAAGCAAAAAAACCCAAATAGGTATCTTTTCGTAACGTAATTGTTTTGCCTACTCTACACCCGTTTGATATGGCAGAATGTAAAAGGTACCCGACAGGTTACACTGTACTGTACTCTACATGCATGAAAAGATTACAGTTTTGCTTGTCGGAGAATTTTAAAGTACTTTCCCTATTCTGTAGCAGGAACAACAGATATAAGTATAAGAATGTGTCCAATACAGAAGCACTTCCCGGTTTCAGATCTGTCAACTACGAAACATGCTAAACAGAAACAAGAGGTCGATTCACATGTATAGGTATTTGTTGGTTAATGTAGATAATATGATGCATGTGTTCTCAACTGCTAGGGTCAAATGACGATTAAGTTGGTGTCCACGAATGGTTGAGTCACTCGGCGCTTTATTAAAAGTCCTTTTGCACTGTGATGCAATCAGCTGAGTAGTTATTCTGGCATTCAGCATAGCAGAGAGGACGTCATGCTATGGAAAGAAACAGGAGGAAAGGCAAGATGGGGGTGATGTAGTGGGGCAGCAGATCAATGTTGTCTCTTTGATATCTCCAACAAGAGTGTTTATTGTCTTCGGTCAGTGACTAAATAATAGTTTGTCAACCTAACGTCTTTTTAACGATCTGAGACCTCTCTGGATGTTTGTGTCCCGATCTCAATCGACGGACGGACATGCGATCCGACTTTCTCATCTGGTACGTTCTTGACAAAAAATGATCTGCTGCCCAATGTCAATAGTTTTGACATTTTTTCTTCTTTTTTCTCTCTGTTTCTCTTTGTTCCGTTGGTGTTCTCATTGGGAACGGGCTAAACAGAGGTG